TTAACATTCATTTCATCACTGAAGAAGGTTATAGTATTTTAGCCGAAACGTCTATTTTAAGATTTTTAAGTCAGTGACAACAACTTTTAAGATTTTATGGGTGAATTATATTTAAAATGAGTCAGAGAAAAGTGGTTCATACATTACCTGAAATAAGACATATATGGATTCCGGAGTTATAAATGATTAAATTAGTGGTTGTGCTTTTCAGAATTAACCGAGACACTGTGAGAGTTTTGCAACAACTTGTTTTGACTTTCTTAATTATTGGATGGCTATGATTAAGGCATGTTTTGCATTTTTTACTCAATCTCTCTAGAAACAAGCCTGTCTGGCCCTGCGCAATCTAGTCGCCCGTAACCCTGAACACTGTGAAATCATATTGGAAGCAGGAGCTGAGAGCTTGATCAGGAAAGCGCATGGAAAGATGAATGATTGTGAAGATTTAGCCAAGGCGGCCCTGAGAGATCTTGGGTGTGATGTGGAACTGAAGGAACTCTGGACTGGAACCGGACAAGGCAAAGTCCACCATTAGTTGTATCAACTTGTAACCCAGGTGAAACGAGTGTAAAGGGCTTGTATTGTTTGATGTAGGGACTGTTATGTCGTCTGCGCTGAATACTATGTGGGCCCAGGAACTTGTGGTTATCGGTCACAACTGCAAGGTTAAGATCTGCGGAGAATTCTTGAACCTTTTCAAGAAAAAAGTACCGTTACTTCATTATGTTGGACGCTGGGCATCTGATATCAATGTGAAACTTCATTGAATCTTCCTTTTGTACGCGCCCCAACTTGAATCTCGACGAGTACAAAAATACGAACATGGCGAGCGCCGGTTCGTGAACCTCACATGCAACCTTTAAACAGAAGATAAAACTGAGTCAAATACTTTACAAACTTGTCACATCATCATAATCTATTTATTGAAGAAAAAGTGTCGCTATGCTTGGAAACCGGAAATGATGAAGTGTGTCAGGAAAATGTACCCACAAATACTTGTCTGCACAATGAACCTCTGTAGATGAGATTATTAACGTTGTGTAGAATTATCATCTTGGAAAAAGTGAAACAGTCCTGCAGTCTTGTGTGTTACATGACATACATATAGCGGCGTATATTCTGGCTGTAGTCAGTGTTCCTTATTAGGTGCCGTAGTCCTGGGGGGGAGGGGGGCTCCCTTATGACAAGGACGGGGGTGCTCGCTGGAAATTTTGAAAGCAAAAACAAAAAAAAAACGAGAGGTATCAAGATCCTGTTTTGTGGGCGTGACTTAAAATGGTTTTCACCCCTAAGAGAATTCCTATAAAGATACCAATTTTAAAACAACACGTTCTCTCCTGTCATATTTTTTTCGGGTCAATACCCCAAATGGTGCTGCAACAGCTTCCGCTGTGGGCCTCTTACGGCATAATATCGTAAGAGGTACCCGAAGCGTGTTTTTAACCCCTGAAAGATACGATGAGCACCCCCATCCTTTTAAACTGGGAGTTCCTCACCCCCATCCCCCCGCGGGCCGAAATCCAGACATCAAACTGTTTCTTGTTATGTCTACTACATGACTGATATTAGTGTGACTGGGTGTTCGAGTGAATTGTGATAAGAAGTTGCATCAAAATGTATGCGATGAAGCGTTTGTTTTTATTTACTACTCGCTATTTATTGTCATAAAGGATTGCTCATGAATCAAAGGTTGCTTTTCCTGTGCTGTTTGTCCGACTGTCCGAACTCTGCCGAAAATAAAACGTGAGGTACTCCGATTGCGTCCATTTTCCATCGTTGGGTTCCGGAAGTTTGAGTTCTTTGGAATTCGTTTATCGCTAAAACTTCTGTTAGCCAAATTGTGCAGTAAACCAATCTAGTCTCGAAATAGATGATTGCAGCAAGCGGTAAGGGCGGGAAATCGCGTAAGTTCAATATTGCTAAAACCTGCGAACCAATCAAGTCAGCGTCAAAAGCTGCGAACCAATCAGAATTATCCTGTAACCAGTGGTAAGCGCGGGAAAACGTCGAGTAATCCAAATAGTACAGTGCACCAATCAGGACAAAAAGCCAATTGAAAATCATTTACCGATCAGCGCGTAAGAACTTGTATCAGACATCTTAGAATCATGGCGGGTAATGTCGCACACGCTTTTAACTCGTTCCAGATCTTCCCTCCACATAGAAATTTATTCCATCCGATTGTAGATCGAAACACGGTAACTGAAAATAGCAAAATTACAAACACAGGAATGAACATAAAATAACTAACAACGACCGAACATGAAGAACGCAGAAAAGCGGCAAAGCGAAATAAACGAAGAAACTTACAAGACGAATGTGACGAACCAAAGACGAACCGAAAAGCTGTAACAAATTCAAAGACACTCACAGAACCCAATGACGCTACTAACTAAAATAAATTACACGCGAACCGAACTTATGGAATATGCAAATGAACATAACATATACAAAAGGACACAATTAATTACGCGAAACTAACACCAAACGCGAAGCTAAAAGCACGAACAAATCTCACAAATTCTGGCGCCTTCAGCGGGTTTATGTTTCGCTACTTGTTAGTTTGAGAAGACTCCACATTTGGTCTTGTTGGTTAAGACGAAGTTTTAGAGGTCAGTACATTGCAACCCAGGTTTCATGAACTTGGTTGGTTCCGAACAATTTATTTATAACAAATCTAATTTCAGTGCTATATACTGGATACCAATGACCGGTTAGCAGTGTTGCAACTTCAGTGTATAACACTTTAACGTATACCGGTTTTACTGTGATAAAGCTCGGTACCCGGGAAACACTCTGACAAACAATTATTAAGAACTACAAGAAGTGTGTTTAAGGCTCTTTAATTGTTTTACCATAACTGAATATATAATCTTTTCTTTCGGACCTTTCGTAGAATACGTTACATTTTTAGAATTCAAAATGTTTTTTGTTTAATACCCCATGTGGGTCATATTCCTTTTTGAGGTCTTTCAGCCGTTGCAAATTGCTCTTGCCGAAGTAATTTTCCAGGCGTTCCTGACTGGTTGCTTCTCCGCAGTCGGCATAATTCTGGTATGAGCCGAGTGAGTGAGCCAGCAGTGACTGACCAGCTCTTTCTGCCCACTGTCTGCATGCATGCGCATTACCATTAGTCTCGTCTTGGGGTTTCCACATGGCCTGCACACTGTACAGAAAAAGAGCGTCTCTGTGTACGTAAGCGCAGGAATCACATGACTTTCGGTTGATTGCTCCTCCCAGCTGCTCTAGACCAATAGTGTGAGGAGTAGAACCAACTGGGGCCGATTCTAGCTGGTTCATTATGATTTGAATGACCTGGAATAGCCAAGAGAGACATATAGTGTTTACCTAAAGTGTATTAACAGTTCTATCAGATTTTGGTTGGATTTGACATTACGCATAGCGAAAACAAGGACAAAACTCATTCTGGTCTGCAGTTCAAAGGAGCTCAGTCACTGCATTTCGCGTTATTTCGTCCTCGTACAAAACTATCTTTAAACTCAAGGAAATCTGAAAACGCAGTAGTTTACTAGGATAGAAAATCACCAAAGAGTTAATAACAAACCATAAAGAAACAAGGATGGAGAAGATTAACACGGATTGCAAACGACGAACTTGAAAAATTTAGGCTAAACCTTTCGAGATGCGCAAACTTTGACGTGACGTAGCGCCTGTAAGTCCTTGGAAGGAAGGCCAAGGATGTGGTACGTACGTCATATTAGCGGAGCCGGCATGTAGTCTTGTATAAGCCCAACAGGACGCTGGTCAGTTCACAGGATACTCGAACCTTAAGTCTCCGTTGCTTTTTCTACATCTTGTTCTAAAGAATTTAAGGAAACGCCTTATCTCCCAAGTGTCTAACAACATATACATGTCCTCAGGACAGGTAGAATGTGTTACCTCGGGAGTTAATATTCCAAGAAAAGCAGACTTCCACATCTTGCGCGTCTTTTCAGATTCAGCGCCAAATCTCTGCTGATATTTCTGGTAAGAGGTGGTCTGTTCTTGCCAAGAGCCGTCACTAGTTGAGGAATTCTCCATTGGGGGACCAAACGTCTCTGTAAGACGACGAAGAAAAGGAAGGAGGGTTCTCTCGGCGTCACAAGGGGGTCCATCATAGAAGTAGTCGACTGCAACCCCGGGGAATTGCGTAACGAGGTAAATATTGAAGGTTATTTCATCTTCGGCTTCTCTGCACAACTCGTTCATGAAATGCAAGAATTCCCTAAGCTTTTCTGCGGGCATCGGAAGATAGCAAAAGCGACCTGTTAATTGGAACACAAAACAGCATTTAAACCTGTAATTCACTATCATTCAACTTTATGCATCATGGTGTTTGTCCTCCAAGCTCCAAGAACACTTCATGAGCACTCGCTCCAAGCTAACCTAAGATTAGGCAGTCTCCTTTCTTGTCGCACGAAAGCTGCAAGCGAGTGTTTTGTGCAGTTTTAAGACAAGATGAGAACGCAGGCATGTGCTCCTGCTTTAGTTAACGGTCTTTTCCTTGCGAAGAAAGAGAGGATAGCCTGGGAACGGCATTAGCATCAACGTTTCAACTAGGAAATTGAATATAGATCTCTCTCGTTTGCTGGGTAGGAAAAATTATCATTCTTTTTTTTTTGCTGATAGATTCTTATTGCAAATCTTATCTTGTCCTGCTCTATATCTCGATTTTTTGCACAAGCGCTGGGAGACACCGCACTCAAAGTGAACAAAAGACTTTACTAAACAACAAAAATCGTTCACCTCCAACATATTCCTCTTGTAACTTGTGCAATTTGACTTGTACCTTTGTAACCACGCCGTATCCCACCTGCCCAGCTCCTCTCAGTGCCCAGAAAAGCTCCATGTGCTCATGCGGTGATGCCACAATCCGCTGACCCGCTGGTGCGACAACTTCCATTTGAAGACAGTTGTCGACTGCCAGCCCTTGTGTTCTGCTAAGAAACCCGAACCCCCCGCCCAACATGAAACCGATGACACCCACATCTGTGCAGGAACCGTTCACTGCAGCGAGTCCCCGGGGACAGGTGACGTCATCAAGGTCCTTCACGGTCACGCCAGCCTCGACCCAGGCTGTTGCAGCCTCACTGTCTACGTCTATGTTTTTCATTGCCGACATATCAAGGACAAGACCGTCGCGAATTATAGCCAGACCTGAACATTAGAGAAGTCTGCGTTATTAAGTCACATAGTTTTTTTCTGACCCACCTGTGTGGGTTGTAGACTGACTTCAATATGTACAGCTATCAATTTAACTTATCGTTTAGGACACGGAGAATGTCTGATTTATGGCAAATGGTAGAGAAAACCGATGGAAGTTCCTAGTAGACAAAACAGACTAGCTTATCTCGGCTTTGCTCACAAGAGATTTGGTCACGAGATTGGAAACGGCCAGAAACCGCGGGAAATATCCTATAGGCTAAATCGCGTTGGCACTCGATTGGCTAAAAGAATACAGCGTCAACCTGATTGGTTAGAGTTCCCCGCACACGTTGTGCTCGGCGGGAAAATGCGAACGCCACTGCGCAGATTACCTTTAGGGTCGTGTCCTCCACCAAGGACTGATACTTGAAGATGATTAGCTGAGGCGTACTGCAGCACGTGACATACTTCATCTGAAGTCCTGGGGTTGATGAATGCCTTAGGTTTGTTAGAAGGACTTTCATTGAACAGTCTTCTCATGGATTTTTCATACCCTTCCTGTCCCTCTACAAAAGCTATCAGGTTCAATTTTTCGCACAGGACTTTAATGACTCGATCACTACTGCTTTCTTCAGGGCTGCTCATGCTTCAAGTGAAAATGTTCTGCAAAAGAAAACGTGAGCGAGAAATCTTTTAAAGGCCAGTATTGTCATGCGCAGCATAAGAAAGTGGGACGGCATGGACCTTGGCTCTGCCTTATTAATACGCCAACGTTGATGACCCTTAACGGGGTTTCGCTGTAACTAACTGACAGATTTTGAAGGGTTTTTCCCCGGGGCTTTCCTTGGGTTTACCCCTTCCACTTTGCAGTTCATGCAAAAATTCTCTGTGAGATTCCTATTTTATAGACTGTTAAGCTGCCACGGCTAACTGCTCAGACGCTTTCTCACATTAAATGTTCTTTTACAATGTATAACAACTTCTTACCTCGACTAGCGCAAAAACCAAACGATGAACTTATCAATAGGTGTGCATTGGTTCTAAATCGTTCTGGCTCTTTTTTCCATGAAATGTCAATATTTATAACCCTTAGGGCTTTTATTTCCGAGATGATATCAATACCGACTTTTCAAAGAAAGCACGTTTTCATTCACACGTTTGTCATGTGAATCACAACGACTGTAGGACCTCGATTCATCGTGGCGTAGGATTTCATTTTCCGAGAAATATGTTGCTTCCTTTTTTTTCCTAAACCGGAAAGAACCTGTTTAAATGTTTTGTTTTTATGAACAATTCTCAGAAATTCAAGACATTTCCCCTGTGACAGTGCAATCAGTATCCCGAGATACGAAAGTANTTTTGCAACAACTTGTTTTGACTTTCTTAATTATTGGATGGCTATGATTAAGGCATGTTTTGCATTTTTTACTCAATCTCTCTAGAAACAAGCCTGTCTGGCCCTGCGCAATCTAGTCGCCCGTAACCCTGAACACTGTGAAATCATATTGGAAGCAGGAGCTGAGAGCTTGATCAGGAAAGCGCATGGAAAGATGAATGATTGTGAAGATTTAGCCAAGGCGGCCCTGAGAGATCTTGGGTGTGATGTGGAACTGAAGGAACTCTGGACTGGAACCGGACAAGGCAAAGTCCACCATTAGTTGTATCAACTTGTAACCCAGGTGAAACGAGTGTAAAGGGCTTGTATTGTTTGATGTAGGGACTGTTATGTCGTCTGCGCTGAATACTATGTGGGCCCAGGAACTTGTGGTTATCGGTCACAACTGCAAGGTTAAGATCTGCGGAGAATTCTTGAACCTTTTCAAGAAAAAAGTACCGTTACTTCATTATGTTGGACGCTGGGCATCTGATATCAATGTGAAACTTCATTGAATCTTCCTTTTGTACGCGCCCCAACTTGAATCTCGACGAGTACAAAAATACGAACATGGCGAGCGCCGGTTCGTGAACCTCACATGCAACCTTTAAACAGAAGATAAAACTGAGTCAAATACTTTACAAACTTGTCACATCATCATAATCTATTTATTGAAGAAAAAGTGTCGCTATGCTTGGAAACCGGAAATGATGAAGTGTGTCAGGAAAATGTACCCACAAATACTTGTCTGCACAATGAACCTCTGTAGATGAGATTATTAACGTTGTGTAGAATTATCATCTTGGAAAAAGTGAAACAGTCCTGCAGTCTTGTGTGTTACATGACATACATATAGCGGCGTATATTCTGGCTGTAGTCAGTGTTCCTTATTAGGTGCCGTAGTCCTGGGGGGGAGGGGGGCTCCCTTATGACAAGGACGGGGGTGCTCGCTGGAAATTTTGAAAGCAAGAACAAAAAAAAAACGAGAGGTATCAAGATCCTGTTTTGTGGGCGTGACTTAAAATGGTTTTCACCCCTAAGAGAATTCCTATAAAGATACCAATTTTAAAACAACACGTTCTCTCCTGTCATATTTTTTTCGGGTCAATACCCCAAATGGTGCTGCAACAGCTTCCGCTGTGGGCCTCTTACGGCATAATATCGTAAGAGGTACCCGAAGCGTGTTTTTAACCCCTGAAAGATACGATGAGCACCCCCATCCTTTTAAACTGGGAGTTCCTCACCCCCATCCCCCCGCGGGCCGAAATCCAGACATCAAACTGTTTCTTGTTATGTCTACTACATGACTGATATTAGTGTGACTGGGTGTTCGAGTGAATTGTGATAAGAAGTTGCATCAAAATGTATGCGATGAAGCGTTTGTTTTTATTTACTACTCGCTATTTATTGTCATAAAGGATTGCTCATGAATCAAAGGTTGCTTTTCCTGTGCTGTTTGTCCGACTGTCCGAACTCTGCCGAAAATAAAACGTGAGGTACTCCGATTGCGTCCATTTTCCATCGTTGGGTTCCGGAAGTTTGAGTTCTTTGGAATTCGTTTATCGCTAAAACTTCTGTTAGCCAAATTGTGCAGTAAACCAATCTAGTCTCGAAATAGATGATTGCAGCAAGCGGTAAGGGCGGGAAATCGCGTAAGTTCAATATTGCTAAAACCTGCGAACCAATCAAGTCAGCGTCAAAAGCTGCGAACCAATCAGAATTATCCTGTAACCAGTGGTAAGCGCGGGAAAACGTCGAGTAATCCAAATAGTACAGTGCACCAATCAGGACAAAAAGCCAATTGAAAATCATTTACCGATCAGCGCGTAAGAACTTGTATCAGACATCTTAGAATCATGGCGGGTAATGTCGCACACGCTTTTAACTCGTTCCAGATCTTCCCTCCACATAGAAATTTATTCCATCCGATTGTAGATCGAAACACGGTAACTGAAAATAGCAAAATTACAAACACAGGAATGAACATAAAATAACTAACAACGACCGAACATGAAGAACGCAGAAAAGCGGCAAAGCGAAATAAACGAAGAAACTTACAAGACGAATGTGACGAACCAAAGACGAACCGAAAAGCTGTAACAAATCCAAAGACGCTCACAGAACCCAATGACGCTACTAACTAAAATAAATTACACGCGAACCGAACTTATGGAATATGCAAATGAACATAACATATACAAAAGGACACAATTAATTACGCGAAACTAACACCAAACGCGAAGCTAAAAGCACGAACAAATCTCACAAATTCTGGCGCCTTCAGCGGGTTTATGTTTCGCTACTTGTTAGTTTGAGAAGACTCCACATTTGGTCTTGTTGGTTAAGACGAAGTTTTAGAGGTCAGTACATTGCAACCCAGGTTTCATGAACTTGGTTGGTTCCGAACAATTTATTTATAACAAATCTAATTTCAGTGCTATATACTGGATACCAATGACCGGTTAGCAGTGTTGCAACTTCAGTGTATAACACTTTAACGTATACCGGTTTTACTGTGATAAAGCTCGGTACCCGGGAAACACTCTGACAAACAATTATTAAGAACTACAAGAAGTGTGTTTAAGGCTCTTTAATTGTTTTACCATAACTGAATATATAATCTTTTCTTTCGGACCTTTCGTAGAATACGTTACATTTTTAGAATTCAAAATGTTTTTTGTTTAATACCCCATGTGGGTCATATTCCTTTTTGAGGTCTTTCAGCCGTTGCAAATTGCTCTTGCCGAAGTAATTTTCCAGGCGTTCCTGACTGGTTGCTTCTCCGCAGTCGGCATAATTCTGGTATGAGCCGAGTGAGTGAGCCAGCAGTGACTGACCAGCTCTTTCTGCCCACTGTCTGCATGCATGCGCATTACCATTAGTCTCGTCTTGGGGTTTCCACATGGCCTGCACACTGTACAGAAAAAGAGCGTCTCTGTGTACGTAAGCGCAGGAATCACATGACTTTCGGTTGATTGCTCCTCCCAGCTGCTCTAGACCAATAGTGTGAGGAGTAGAACCAACTGGGGCCGATTCTAGCTGGTTCATTATGATTTGAATGACCTGGAATAGCCAAGAGAGACATATAGTGTTTACCTAAAGTGTATTAACAGTTCTATCAGATTTTGGTTGGATTTGACATTACGCATAGCGAAAACAAGGACAAAACTCATTCTGGTCTGCAGTTCAAAGGAGCTCAGTCACTGCATTTCGCGTTATTTCGTCCTCGTACAAAACTATCTTTAAACTCAAGGAAATCTGAAAACGCAGTAGTTTACTAGGATAGAAAATCACCAAAGAGTTAATAACAAACCATAAAGAAACAAGGATGGAGAAGATTAACACGGATTGCAAACGACGAACTTGAAAAATTTAGGCTAAACCTTTCGAGATGCGCAAACTTTGACGTGACGTAGCGCCTGTAAGTCCTTGGAAGGAAGGCCAAGGATGTGGTACGTACGTCATATTAGCGGAGCCGGCATGTAGTCTTGTATAAGCCCAACAGGACGCTGGTCAGTTCACAGGATACTCGAACCTTAAGTCTCCGTTGCTTTTTCTACATCTTGTTCTAAAGAATTTAAGGAAACGCCTTATCTCCCAAGTGTCTAACAACATATACATGTCCTCAGGACAGGTAGAATGTGTTACCTCGGGAGTTAATATTCCAAGAAAAGCAGACTTCCACATCTTGCGCGTCTTTTCAGATTCAGCGCCAAATCTCTGCTGATATTTCTGGTAAGAGGTGGTCTGTTCTTGCCAAGAGCCGTCACTAGTTGAGGAATTCTCCATTGGGGGACCAAACGTCTCTGTAAGACGACGAAGAAAAGGAAGGAGGGTTCTCTCGGCGTCACAAGGGGGTCCATCATAGAAGTAGTCGACTGCAACCCCGGGGAATTGCGTAACGAGGTAAATATTGAAGGTTATTTCATCTTCGGCTTCTCTGCACAACTCGTTCATGAAATGCAAGAATTCCCTAAGCTTTTCTGCGGGCATCGGAAGATAGCAAAAGCGACCTGTTAATTGGAACACAAAACAGCATTTAAACCTGTAATTCACTATCATTCAACTTTATGCATCATGGTGTTTGTCCTCCAAGCTCCAAGAACACTTCATGAGCACTCGCTCCAAGCTAACCTAAGATTAGGCAGTCTCCTTTCTTGTCGCACGAAAGCTGCAAGCGAGTGTTTTGTGCAGTTTTAAGACAAGATGAGAACGCAGGCATGTGCTCCTGCTTTAGTTAACGGTCTTTTCCTTGCGAAGAAAGAGAGGATAGCCTGGGAACGGCATTAGCATCAACGTTTCAACTAGGAAATTGAATATAGATCTCTCTCGTTTGCTGGGTAGGAAAAATTATCATTCTTTTTTTTTTGCTGATAGATTCTTATTGCAAATCTTATCTTGTCCTGCTCTATATCTCGATTTTTTGCACAAGCGCTGGGAGACACCGCACTCAAAGTGAACAAAAGACTTTACTAAACAACAAAAATCGTTCACCTCCAACATATTCCTCTTGTAACTTGTGCAATTTGACTTGTACCTTTGTAACCACGCCGTATCCCACCTGCCCAGCTCCTCTCAGTGCCCAGAAAAGCTCCATGTGCTCATGCGGTGATGCCACAATCCGCTGACCCGCTGGTGCGACAACTTCCATTTGAAGACAGTTGTCGACTGCCAGCCCTTGTGTTCTGCTAAGAAACCCGAACCCCCCGCCCAACATGAAACCGATGACACCCACATCTGTGCAGGAACCGTTCACTGCAGCGAGTCCCCGGGGACAGGTGACGTCATCAAGGTCCTTCACGGTCACGCCAGCCTCGACCCAGGCTGTTGCAGCCTCACTGTCTACGTCTATGTTTTTCATTGCCGACATATCAAGGACAAGACCGTCGCGAATTATAGCCAGACCTGAACATTAGAGAAGTCTGCGTTATTAAGTCACATAGTTTTTTTCTGACCCACCTGTGTGGGTTGTAGACTGACTTCAATATGTACAGCTATCAATTTAACTTATCGTTTAGGACACGGAGAATGTCTGATTTATGGCAAATGGTAGAGAAAACCGATGGAAGTTCCTAGTAGACAAAACAGACTAGCTTATCTCGGCTTTGCTCACAAGAGATTTGGTCACGAGATTGGAAACGGCCAGAAACCGCGGGAAATATCCTATAGGCTAAATCGCGTTGGCACTCGATTGGCTAAAAGAATACAGCGTCAACCTGATTGGTTAGAGTTCCCCGCACACGTTGTGCTCGGCGGGAAAATGCGAACGCCACTGCGCAGATTACCTTTAGGGTCGTGTCCTCCACCAAGGACTGATACTTGAAGATGATTAGCTGAGGCGTACTGCAGCACGTGACATACTTCATCTGAAGTCCTGGGGTTGATGAATGCCTTAGGTTTGTTAGAAGGACTTTCATTGAACAGTCTTCTCATGGATTTTTCATACCCTTCCTGTCCCTCTACAAAAGCTATCAGGTTCAATTTTTCGCACAGGACTTTAATGACTCGATCACTACTGCTTTCTTCAGGGCTGCTCATGCTTCAAGTGAAAATGTTCTGCAAAAGAAAACGTGAGCGAGAAATCTTTTAAAGGCCAGTATTGTCATGCGCAGCATAAGAAAGTGGGACGGCATGGACCTTGGCTCTGCCTTATTAATACGCCAACGTTGATGACCCTTAACGGGGTTTCGCTGTAACTAACTGACAGATTTTGAAGGGTTTTTCCCCGGGGCTTTCCTTGGGTTTACCCCTTCCACTTTGCAGTTCATGCAAAAATTCTCTGTGAGATTCCTATTTTATAGACTGTTAAGCTGCCACGGCTAACTGCTCAGACGCTTTCTCACATTAAATGTTCTTTTACAATGTATAACAACTTCTTACCTCGACTAGCGCAAAAACCAAACGATGAACTTATCAATAGGTGTGCATTGGTTCTAAATCGTTCTGGCTCTTTTTTCCATGAAATGTCAATATTTATAACCCTTAGGGCTTTTATTTCCGAGATGATATCAATACCGACTTTTCAAAGAAAGCACGTTTTCATTCACACGTTTGTCATGTGAATCACAACGACTGTAGGACCTCGATTCATCGTGGCGTAGGATTTCATTTTCCGAGAAATATGTTGCTTCCTTTTTTTTCCTAAACCGGAAAGAACCTGTTTAAATGTTTTGTTTTTATGAACAATTCTCAGAAATTCAAGACATTTCCCCTGTGACAGTGCAATCAGTATCCCGAGATACGAAAGTATATGTGTATATTTGCATTTGTTACAAGGATATTTTCATCTTTGAAAATTAACTCCTTTGTTTAAATGACGTTATTTCTTTATCTGAGTTTCATCTTCAAGAAACCAACTAATTAATAATCAGGTCGATATTGTTCACTTCAGATAATGAAAGATACTATTATTTTCTATTTACATAAAGTGAGAAATTTTCCTTTCAAATTAGGTAAACGTTTTAATTTCCTCGGATCAGTTGTGTGCGGAAGCGAAACCCCTGACTCGTTTCAGTCGGTACATGTCACTCAGGTCAGTTTCCAAGAAATTCTACACGCAAAACATTCAGTTTCACTATTAGTTAGCGTGACACTGATTTCACAGCTTTTTACTTGACTTGTTGGCGGCGTGTACCTTACATCTGCGATGGCTAACACGATTCTATGCATTGGCAGTGCGGAAGATCCGCACATACAAGAGGTCGATAAACATGTGAAAGCAATGGACAGCAAGGCAAGAGTTGTGTTGTTCAACCCTTTATGTGGAAGCCATTTCATAGAAATCACTACTGGAAATCACCGTTCTGATGAGTTATGTTCTAGCTGCACTGTGGTTGTTGATGGCGAACGAATCGCCGCTGATTCGATCAGATCGGTCTGGTATCGCTGGAAGCCGGCCGTACTTTCGGCGGATGAAGATCTCCAAGGTCTAATCGCCAAAGACTTCGCCTTGAAGGAGTGGAAGTCAGTGATTCGTTCACTTGCGTCATTTCTTCCTGACGCCAGATGGCTGAACCCGCTGGCGACCTCGGAGCTCTTGAACTGCAAGCCACATCAGCTGAGACTCGCGCAGCAAGTTGGTCTGACTGTGCCACAGACCACCATCACGAACAACCCAATAGCCGTTGGAAAGCTTTTCGAGCAAGTGGCTCACGGACGAGTGATATTCAAAAGCCTGACGCCTCTTTTCGTACCGCCCAACAAGCTGCTCTACACCACAGAGATAACAAAAGAATTTCCATCCGTATCCCGAGCAAGCGTCACTCGGTGTCCAGCCATTTATCAGGAGCTGGTGGAAAGAAAGTCTGATTTACGAATCACCGTGGTTGGTCGAGCGGTGTTTGTCGCCCGCATTGCTTCGCAGATGCTTGATGAGAAAAAAGATCGCTTGGATTGGAGACGATGCCAGGACAAGGATGAACTTTACAGTGTAGCACAGGTACAATTTTTAATCGATTTTGGGGTATTTTCTCCCGGCGTATTTCAAACTTGGCCCTTATAAATTGACTCGTGCAGTGTTTTAATAAATGAAGCCCAGTGTCAAGGAAGGGTTCTTGTTCATTAGTTTTGAAAGCCATATATCTTGCCATTCAATTCTACCTAAACCTTATTAACAAACAAGTGATTGAGGGGTTAATTAATCCTATCTTAGAGAAGCGGTGTTTGTTTGGTACAGAAAAAACGATGTCTGTTTCTATAACTTAGCTATTTCATAGTAACTTTCTGGTGCTTCTTCATCAGGAACTTTTCGAATGCGATTTTTTCCTAAACAGGTAACTGAGTCATTTAAAGAGCGTTTGCTAGAGTTCCACGAGAAAGCAGGTTTGGTTTTTGGCGCTTACGACTTCTTAGAGCGCGGAGATGACATCATATTCCTGGAATGTAATCCGGGAGGAGCCTGGCTCTGGTTAGAACACAGTCTTGGTCTTAACGTCTCCGAGCACGTCGCGCGATACCTTCTGGGACGAGATGAAGCAGACTCTTCCAGAGTTTAAAACTGGATTTCTTTGTTTCAGTTGTAATAAACAAAGAGTGTTTAAACGTTTGAGTATTGACAACATTGTCACGACCTTAACTGAGTTAGAATTCTAAGCCGAAGTTCAGCATTCGGATTTACGTTTTAACAATTTAATTTTATTGACTATGACATCGTCTACATCACATCGAATCACGGGTAAATCTTAAGTCTCAGCGTGTCCAGCTATGGTGATGCTGGCAAACATGTCGCTGTTAGGCTGGTCCAGCTACCAGTCGTAGTCACCATAGGAAAACACGTCCATCCCAGAATTTTAAGTGCACAGGACAGCGGAACTGCAAATGAACAATGCGTTGAAAATGGATTAAATCCAAATAGACCTGTCAGTTCTCATACACAGCTATATAGAACTAAATCGAAATTACCTTCATAACAACTTAACCTAGCCTGGAAAAGGAACTGGCTGAGAGCGATGTAGCCGAGGGGATAGTGGGGTGGGGGTTGGTCTCCCCTCCCCTCTCTCCTCTCTCTCTTCCTGTGTCTCCCCCCTCCTCTCTGTTCTATCCTCGTTCTTCCCGATTTCTCTTCGTCCGATCCTCGATCAAAGAGCCTGTTCACAGACTAAACTAAACCTAACTCGCTATAAGCCAAATGGCTTCGTCGTGAAAAACGTAACTTTTGACCCATTCACTCGCACCAGCGCGAAATGAACTTTTCAGTTACAAAACAGCTATCAGGAAATTATCTGTAAAGGCGAAAGCTTAGCTGCTTGAGGAGGTATCTTCTTTGCCGAGCTGCTGTGCGATAAATCTTCTAGTAAGGATCGATTTAGAAGAACATTTTTAATAAAAATTAACGATAAAAACGCTACATCACGTTGCAACGACCTTTGCAGTGTCATCATTGTCGAATGCAGAAGAAATTAAAACAAGTGACATATATCATGTATAATAATATGTAGAGATACAGAGTTAGGAGTGTGAACAAAATGATCTTCTAGAAAGAGAATCTGTTTGCTATGGCATCTTTTGAAAAACCAAAACTGAACCGAAAGGAAGAGATTTCAAACAAAAACGTTCCCAAAAGATCAGATTTGATAAGTTTATCAGTGAATATCAAACTCACACCGGTTGTAAACACTATAGTTTCAATTCACTCAATAGGCCACGTTTGATATATTAAAGGTCTGTTAATATTCTAACATGGCTCTTAGACTTTCAGGACAAACTTTCATATTTGGTGGTGTTTTCTTTGTATCCAAGTATCTTTTGGGAATTTGTATTTTTGTCCTAAAAGCCTTGATGCCATGTTAAAATGTAGATTTACCTAACGTTAACTTGCCCCCCTCCCCGGTGAGGGGGGTACTCCCACATATTGGCTGTATATGTATGTGCCGCATGATAGGGTATGGTTTTTGAGGTTTCCGATCTTTAAGTAGGGTATCTTTTTTGCCCCTGTTTGCATTGTGTTCCCGGTGTTTTCCTTAGACGGGGCACCTAAATTGTATCAGCTTAAATTCCAGTGCGCAAATGCCCAGCTGAACGATAAACCAATTCTCTGCTTGATGGTTAATTACAGAATTTACGGGAGTACCTCCCCTTCCCCCCTCGGGAACGTGGCCTTAACGTGATCAGGTCTGGGAAAGCATAACTTAATTCTCATCTTCATTTCACTAGTTTGGTTTGGTCGGGCTGGAAGTATTTTTAAGAGGTTTTCCAGTACCTGAAGATTTTTTCCTCGGGCATTCGTGTTTCTCAGCAGCAGCCTTGATAGCTTCCATCTACAAAACAAGTCGCGCTCATTTTAAGAAATACATTCTTTTTTATCACTCTTTTCTGAATAAGAATATATTTTATAAGATTATCGAGGTTGAAATTTGCGAAGTTCTAAGAATATTTTTAGAAAAATCCCGAAGCTAAGATTTTGAAAAGAATATAATTTTGAGTTGAAAATGTGTAAAGACAGTACAAGTATCGGTTTTTAACTAAACCGTATAAAATTCTTCCTTTCTCTAAATGGCAAGACTAGCCAAAAAACAACAGAAACAGCACTAGCCGTAAATTCGAAGCTAATAACACTTGCGCAAGAATCGAAGTAGTATATGTGTGATATATTGCATGCAGTCTGGCTCCATGTAAAATTACTTCAACACCGTCTAAACACCAAACATTGGTAACTGATGCTTCAATACATTCTAAAACGAAAATGTCATACACTATAATCGAAGAATATGCACAAGAACATTTTCAGCCTAAAATCGGTAGAAGCTTGGGCTGAAAAAAAATATATATAAAAGAGTGTATATCAAAAATGTGGTATTAACCCAGTGTTTTACTCATATAATGATAGAAATCATACAAAGTAAGAGATAGAATTCACTCACCTCGCTATTACTCCATTTTTCCTTCGGAGACAGAGTAGTGTAAGTAGTTCTTATCCACCGTTGTTACTCGTCAGATTAACACACCCAAGCGCCTGTAGGTCTAAATCATTAGGTCGTGCGAATCTGATTGGTCAATTTTTACCACGTGCCAGGAACTTACAGTAGACATCCAGGTGGCGTCGTCTGGTAGACATTTTGACTTTTCATGTTTCTATGGCTGCAATTTGTTTCTATGCCACGACGCGTTATCGCTACCGATTTTGTGCTCGACCACTCAAAAGCCAGAATCAAACCAAGTTCGCTCCAAGCTGAATGCTAATGGTTATGGTTTTTCGCGCTCGCCAATTCGCTTCGTTCGTCGAATTTTTTGGCCTCCACCGGGACCCTGTTCACAGGCTATAGTGGAACAACGAAATATTCGGACATTCTTGGAAATACGTGTCACAAAAGCGTAAAAGAGAACAATACGCCTGCGCGTTACAGCATTAACAAATTCCCATGTCTGCAATGGTTCTTCGCTGCAACGCATTTTCGCTCCTTTTAGCACGACCACGCGGTTGTTACAGGATCGAACAACTTTCCAAGCTGAACGTTAAGGGAACAAGAAGGCCTCAGACATTCTTGGAAAAACTTGTCACAACAGCATACGAGAAAACCAGATTAAACTACACCTTCAAAATCGTGAACTGAAAAAATCTTTCTAATTTTGCCGGCTTTTCGTTGGTTCAATGTGATAAAGGAAGCGAAATAGGCTATTAAGAGCCAATGATAAAAAGATATGTGTGTTGCAGCTAATATTATCAGAATCTCTTGAGAATCTAAATTTCTAAGAATTACCTTGTTATTCCGGGTTATTTGTGTTTTTCGATTACGATGAGATATTAAGAATCAGCGTGGTACTGGAGTTGTCAACTAAACGGACTGCTTTTTGTTAGTAAGTAGATCTGATTTGTAATGTGTCTTCTTTAGGTTGTTATATTCTAAGGTCTGACTCAAGTAATTGCAAACACTCTTGGACACTCCTCCTTCTTGTGCCACTCCTTCCTTGCGTGACGGCCCGCATTCATAAAAAGTCGTAACTCAATATTTGTTTCCAACTAAGAAAAAAAATGGAAATTTTGATTAAATTAATTATTTAAACATAATTCAACTCGTGACCTTTGATTGAAGCACCAGATAGCGAGAGGGCAGTTTTCAGTTTTGATCTAGAAACGACGCAATTCATTAATTTGCATTATCGAAATCAGTATTTTTATGACTGATTTTGTTTTAAATTTGTTTTAAAGTCTTCTTTGCGTTTGTTAAGGCAAGGCTTTAAGACGAAATCCGATAGGAAATCGAGGAATGTCACTTTTAGTGGACAAAACCCTTGTACCAGAATAATAATATTAAGTATATTACAGTTGCATTTTCTAAAAGCAAAAGATACAGATGTTTGCCTGAAATAACGCCAAAGACAAGTTGAGGAAATAAGTTTTTCAAAGTCATTAATAATTCATCAACTTTAAACAAAGGAAATCCTGACCGTGACGTTGTTTGGATATCTGATCTTAATTAGCATAGATTTTTACGATTTTATTTTTCCGTTTTCTTCTTTGTTTTAGTTTCGATTGAGAAGATATATCAAACACTCACGACAGTGTTTTACCACATTTCCAAACACCTCGAAGTTCGTCAAAAATACTCCGCTGCGCGTCGTATTTTCAACTCTCTTCTCCGGTGTTTCGTGTTTGATATATTATTTCAAAGTTCAGAAAAATTGTACATTCTCAGGTAAAATTTCATCATCAGTTTCTTTCAAGTGTTTCATATGAACTTCAACATTAGTTTTCGACATTTGCTGTTGTTAGAAATGATTTTTGAGAAGATATTTAAAATAGTCGCATAGAAGTTTGCAATACAATGTAAATAATGTTGGTACAAAGTTTTTGTCCACTTGTTACTCGAAACTCTGGTAGATTCCCTCTTAATAGTTGCCTGAAATAACACCAAAAACAATTTCCCAGGGGAACTTGAGAAAATTAATTTCAAAGTTCAGAGAAATTGTGCAAACACAGGAAAAATTTCATCATCACTTTCACTTCACCAGTACTTTCAAGTGTTTCATATAATATATCAAACACAAAAGACCGTGTTTGACCACATTCCTAACATCGAACAGAGAGTTGAAAATACGACGCGCAGAGAAATAAAATCGTAAAAATCTGTGTTAATTAAGATCAGATATCCAAACACCGTCACGGTCATGATTTCCTTTGTTTAAACTTGATGAATTATTAATGAGTTTGAGAAATATATTTCAAACTTTTTTTTTTCGACATTTGGTGTTGTTAAAAATGATTTATTTGAGAAGATATGTAAAACAGTCGCACAGAAGTTTGCAATACAATGTAAATAATCTCGGTACAAAGTTTTTGTTCACTTGTTACTCGATTTTCTGGTGGATTCCCTCTTAATACTTGAAACGGAGTATTGTATTGAGTTTTTAATAAATATAGACCTCTTATAGTATTGCATGAAGCTTTCTAAATAATAATTCATCAAGTTAATACAAAGAAAATCACAACCGTGAAGGAGGTTTGGATACCCAGTTTTAATTAGCATAGATTTTGACGATTTTACTTCTCCGTTTACTCCTTAGTTTTTGTTTCGATTGAGAAGGCATATCAAACACTCGAGACAGTGTTTCATCAGCCATCTAAACACCTCAAATTTCGTCAAAAATACTCCGCTGCGCGCCGTATTTTCAACTCCCTTCTCGGTGTTTGGATATCCCGATGGAACACTGTCTCTCGTGTTTGAAAAATCACATTGTTGACCCATTTTACTGATACGAAAATTCGTTGCTGAGTTACAAATCCAGGACATCATGCTCTGTTTTCTGTCTGATTTTACTTTGTTCTACGCGGTTTGCCTAGCACCTTCTTCTGTACTTAGCAAATGTGAATTAGGAGTTGCGTTCAGCTTGAATGGTACCACGCATTCTTAATCATCAGAACCAGCAACGGATTTGTTAAAACCAGCAACTTCAGCACTCAGGTTTACGTTTTAACAATTTTATTTGATTGATTAAGACGTCGTTTTACGTCACATCGAATCACAGTTAAATCTTCTGAGCGTGTCCAGTTATGGGGATGTTTGCCAGCTGGTTCAGCTACCAGTCCCAGTCACTATAGGAATTCACATCCTTCCCAAAAGTGTAGGAAGCTGTTGGCATCTGTTTGCCGGGGTCCTTCATTGGCTCAGCCAATGAGAAGGCAGCTGGTAAGGCCCGCATCTCTGCTGCACAGGACAGCGGAACTACAAACAAACAATGCGTTTACCATGAAGTAATAGATTTAATCCACTCTCCTCCGCAGAGGTTCCCTAGGGGAGAGGGAAGTGAATAGGTCACTTTCGACATATTAAAATTCAGCTTGATAGTGAGGCCTAGAGGACACAACAAAAGAAATGAACAAACATGTCATTCAATTCCCTTTGTTTGTGTCCTCAGGCCTCACTGCAAAGCTGAATTTTAATATACCGAAAGAGGTCTATTGGGGGATTTCCCGGCCCTTCCCGACGTTCCCCGCACGCGTCCGTTATTCCATCTCCCCAGCCTCCGGACTACCAGCTTCAAGGCAGCACGAAAGAGGCCGCTGCGGAGGAGAGAGGATTTAATCCAAGTAGAAATTTTAGTTCCCACACACAGATATAGATCAAGAGCTGGATCAAATTACAGTAATAACAACTAAACCAAACTAGCTATAAGCCAAATGGCTTCGTCGCGCAGAACGAACATCAGCATGATTAAAATGAATTTTCAATTACGACACAGCTATCAGGAAATAATCTATAAAAGCGAAAGCCTGGCTGAGGAAATAACTCTTCTTGCCAAGATGCATGCTATTTCTGATTTTGGAAATATATGTTGCGATAAATCTTCTTGGAAGGACCGGAAGAGATTCCGTTTACTTAAGTGTCCTATAAAAAAAAACCCAAACTGACTGAGCCGAAAGGCGAAAATTCAAACAGAGGCATTCCTAAAAGATTAGATAAGATAAGTTCATCAGCGAGTTTCAAACTCACACCAGCTGCAAACACAATGTAGTTTCAATTCACGGAATTTGCTTGTTCAGGCCGAGGCCGGAAAAGTATCGGACGTCCTTCTCCTGAGATAAATATTAAGAAAAATGGTCGTCCCGGAAATCTCTCTAAAATAGTGCATTTAGTTTTGCGTGTTAAGTTTTGTTTAGGTTTTTTCTTTCGAATTAAGACACAGTTGTGAGATTTTCCTATACCTGAAGGTTTTTCCTTCGGCCCTTCGCGTTTCTCAGGAACAGCTTTGATAGCTTCCATCTACGAAACAAATCGCGTTTGTTAGATAGATCGACCAGATGAATCAAGAATGCTGTATTAACCCAGTGTTTTACTCGTAAGCTGATAGAAGCCTCACAAAGTAAGAGATAGAAACTCACTCACCTCGCTTTTACTTGATTTTTCCTTCGGAGACAGCGTAGTGCAAACAATTCTTGTCTACCGTTGTTTCTCGCCAGATTAACACACCCACACGGCTCCAGTAGGTGTTATATCATTAGCTCGTGTGAATCTGATTGGTCAGTTTTTTGCCTCGTGACAGGAGCTTGTAATACGTATGATGGTATTTATTTGTTTTTTTCTTGGGACTTTTACCCGGATGTGGTTTCTTCAAGTATCAGATAAGAATGCGCCTGCGCGTTGCAGTGTTGACAATTTTCTGTAACTGCTGAAACGCATCATCGTTCTTTTTTTAGATCGACCACGTGGTCGTTACAGGGTCGAAACAAGTTTCTTCAAAGCTGAACGCTAAGCGAAAAGAAACCCTCGGACATTCTTAGAAAAGCTTGTCATAACAGCATACGAGAGAACTAGATTAAACTGCACCTTCAAAATCATGAATTAGAAACAAAATATCTTCTCAATTTTGTCGATTTATCTTGGGTTCAATCTGATAAAGGAAGCTGACTGAATATGTCATTCAGAGCTAACGAGAAAAAGATTTGTGTGTTGTAGTTAATATCACAAGAACCTCTTGGGTATCTAAATTTCTAAGAATTACCTTGCTATTTCAGCGTTGTTTGTGTCGATCGGTTACGATGAGAAACCAAGGCTGATGAACTGGACGCTGGAGTTGTCAACAATACAGATTGTCTTTTGATAGTCAGGGAGCCGATTTGTAATGTTTCTTTTCTTTCAGGTCGTAAGATTCTAAGATCTAACTCAAATAATTCCAAACTGAACTCTCTTGGAAATGTGCCACACTTGAGTCCGGCCTGCATTCGTAGAAAACCGGAATTCATTTTTTTTTCTTTTGAGAAAAAAGGGAAGTTTTTGATTCATCATAATTGAACTCGTGACTTTTTGATTGACACTCCTATCAAGATAACCAGACGACAGTTTTCAGCTTCGAATCGACGCAGTTTTATAGCTTACGTTTAAAAGCGCAAGCTGAAACTGGACCGGGCACAGCGTAGTTGTGCACAAACGTAGTTCCGATGATCTCGATAGATTCATCTTTCTTTTACTTGTCTGCCCTGTGTATTTTAGTAGTCATCGTCTTTCTGTTTTACACAAAAGTCGGATGGAAAAGTATCATCCGCTCGCCGCTAAATGTGTTAATTGACGTTTTCTACCGCCGAATAACCACCTCTAAGGATCGACCTGGTAAGTTTCGACAGTGTATATATGACGTTCAGCTCACTTTGTAGAGTTTTTTAAAAACATGCGACAGTGAATCAATACAGTACTTTTCTGTGTTTTACTTTGCCTTTATTTTTAGCGATATTCAAGAACCATCTCCAAACGTTTCCATGGTTGAGCCAGCTAGAAGCTAACTGGGAAGCGATTCGAGATGAGCTGTTGTCTTTCGTGGAAAAAGGCACAGGGATGTGTAACGTTCATACTACTGGCGGAGACGAACTTAACAAAGAAAGCAATTGGAAACTGGCGATGATTTTGGGCTATGGCAAACCCATAGACGAAGTCAAGGGCTACTTTCCCTTGACTCTGTCTATTTTAGAGAAGCTTCCCGAAGTTCAGAACGCTGCTTTCTCTCTTCTGAAAGCAGGTGGATCCATTCCCCCGCATTGTGGATCAACAGCGTCGATTCTTCGCTACCACCTGGCGCTGATTGTCCCGGATAATGGCAAGCACTCATGGCTCACAGTTGCCGGGGTCAACATACCGTGGGGAGCGGGGAAAGGCATCTTGTTCGACGATACGTTTGAGCATTCTGCTTGTAATGGAGCTGAAGAAGATCGCGTTGTGTTGATTGTGGACATTTTCAGACCAAATCTTGGACTTGTGGACGGATTAATTCAAAAACTAGAAGTGTGGAAACGTACGCAGGACTTTATTGCTGGCAGGCAGGGATAATCTGAACTTGTCTAATGTTGTTGGCCGAATTCCAGATTTTGATTTCGTATCCGTAATTTTCTCCGAATTGGAACCGTTCCCATAAGGGGCTTTTATCGAGTTATTTCTCAGTGTGTTTGCAAAATTAGATATGTAATTAACGAAATCAGTATTCTTATGATTAACCTTATTTGAACCTGTTTTTGAAATCTTTTCTGCTTGTGTTAAGGCAATGGAATGATAAAAGAAAGATTGTAAAAAGTTTTTACTCACTATAAGACCTCTTAGTTCTTGATGCTTGAAGCTATGTAGACTCCATATGCTGTTTCATATGACAATTTGATTCGTTACCGGGAAACAGATCCAGAGGAACATTATCTCCTCTTCTGACTGATTTTACTTTTTGAAGGTTGTTTCGTACCTCCTTCTGTACGTATGGAAAGTTAATTAGGGGTTGAATTCAAGTTGAGTGGTGCTAGTATTAATCATCACTATTTTATCAGAGTGAAAATATGAGATAACTTTCGTAAGTTCTGGATAAATGTCGCTATTAACCTTGAAAATTATGTCAGTTGATGTCAATATACTAATGAATGCACGTTCTTTGTGAAGCTGGATTTCACTGTTTGCCCTAATCTTCTGAGGTCTGTCTTTAAAACAATACGATAACCCGAAATCAGGCGGATTTCGAGACACCTACACTGATTACACAATGGTGGGTCGTTAGCATGGTACCTCTATCAGCCAAAAGTTAGGTCATCAAAGTTTCATAAAGACTCGGCCAAACGCACGCAGTTACATGTAACGCATCATTGTTGATCATTGCAGCATATCAGCTAGCAATGGCGTGCACAACACGCTGCACACGTTTGGATATCCAGTGGCAATGTTGTAACATGTTAGTCGGTGTCGCAGGGTGGCCAAACGTGTAAAACATGTTGGGTGCGTTGAAAAGTTGCCTGCGTATTTTTGAGTTAATCTTTCCTTCAGATCAAATAATCAGTATTCTCATCTTTAGACTTCACATCGGAAACAATATCCAAGGTTTCTTTTACAATTTGGGTTGTATGGCACTTGATTGGTTTATCCAGTTTATTTCTTGCCTTGATTAACGTTTTTCTAGTTTTCTTTTCTTCGTTTCCCCGTCAGTTAAATAAAAAAATCGATTTTTCTTAGTCGCGCTGTAGGAAACTCGACTTCAAAATACAAAAAGATGTTTTACTTCCAATAAATTTAACTTGTTTTATTGGCAAAGCCACACCAAGCCACATTGTTTTGTAATCAGCAATCAGTGCTTATCATCGAGATGGCCGTAATAAAAACTTTCTTATTATAAACAATTAACATCACACGACACGTTATTATAAATTTGTACACATCAGGCTGTTGTACTAAAATTGCATTCGTTTAAGTCAACAAAAAGTGCTCATGTGTGGTATTTTCAGAGATGTTTCGGGAAAACCCCTTCAAATTGCTTGTCTGCTAATGTTACAAAGTATTTCATTTTCAATTTTTTTCAATTATTTAGCGTATACTCTAAATATTTTAGGGGTCCCTAAAATGACTACACTGTGTTTCCAGTCAAAAAAGTGAGCTTTATTTGGCAAAAAATAGATTGTTCAGTAACTTCTGACCCCCTCCAAATGTACAAGGACAATAACACAAAATTATTTTTCATTTTACACCAACATAGTTAGTAGTTCTCTCGCTTGTGAAACACAATTTCGTTATTACTAAAATATCCTTTTAGTTGCCAACAACAACAACAACAACACCAGATTCCACACAATACACATTAGAGAAAGCCCTTCCCATTTTATGGTTGAATGAGAACTTAGTTACAGTACTACTTCAAATATCAAATATTACATTAAATAATTTTTAAAATTAGTCAGTTATTTAAAATATCTGGTGTGCTAACTTCCTTTAAAATATTTGCTATAAAATTTCTGGAAAAGTCTTGTTCTAGAAAAACCAACAAGAACTAAAATCAAGATATACACAACCATTATTGAAGCTAATGGATATCTGAATATCAGCCAGTTCCGAGCTTGTGCCCTAAACAGGGAGGGAAAAAAAGCATTTAAGTGTCTATAATCTATTTGTTTGGCTTTCTCATCAAACTCTATACATCACTCAAATAGATTTAGTCTGAGGAAAAAGTGTTTGATTTGAACAACACATGATTTCTAAAACAATTTTCATTTGCCACCACTTTGACTCAGCATTCACTTAAAAAAGGAGATGTAACAACAATGCGATTTATATAAATAAGTTACCTTGACATTCTGACTCAAATCAAGATTATGAAATGCATATTTGTAAGCTATGCTGTTCTCGGAACGTTTTCTGTTTGTAGAATACATCAAATACTCTAGAGCAGTTTTTCCCTTCAAGGCAGTAACTAAGTAACTATACCAAATGATGATGTTTCAGATTTTTTCAAAAGTTTAAAATCATTATTTTAATGACAGAAATTTCAATTGAAGAATCAAATCAAAAATTTTCAATTGGATTTGAACCAAGATATTCTCCATTGGTCAAACAGAGTCTGCACATGTGTAACTTGAAGACCTAATTATTTACATCAACAAACCTTGTTGGAGTTTTCTTCTCAGCATACACCAACACATATTTCACCCTCACAGCTTGGTTGTTTGTGACCACATAATATCTCTCTGGAACATCCCCTCCCTCGCTGTTTCTTGCTCTGGCCCTTGAACGATTTTGTCTTTCACTATTGGCTTCTGATTTAACTGTACACTTCACATCTGGATGGTCCAAGATCTCGCAGACAGCTACACAACTCATTTTATCTCCAATTACACTATTTTCCCAGCCTTGACCATAATGACTGTACATCATGCAAACAGTGAGGTCACTTGAAAGGTAGGTCCCCTCACCAAAGAATGATGTCTACATAAAATAAAGAACAGTTAATCAATCCATTGATACATCAACCAAACAAGGGAGAAAGCATCAGTCCGTCAGACAGACAGACAGACAATCAGTCAGTCATTCAGTCAGTCAGTCAGTCAGTCCGTCAGACAGACAGACAATCAGTCACTGTCAGTCAGTCAGCTGGTCAAACTCACCTTGTTTAAATGTGCATGTAATCCATTATTCAAGATAGAATGAAAGTTGTCCACTCTACTGCCATGATAAGCATACCACACATCATGAATCTGTGACAGTTCATTAAACTTTGCATTGAGAGTGTTTGTTTCACTGTACTCAACTTCAAATATGAAGTCAGGTGTGGTAGAACTGTAACTTGCTTGACCAGTCTTCTCTTCAATCTCTGAGAACTGTTGACATCAATAAAATACAAAGACACAGTTAGAAATTGTCATGGACAAGGAAAGACCTTAATGTCACAGTCACAAAAGTAATTCAGTAAATTTTCTTTAAGGTTATCTCACTTTGGGAGATTGGGTGGCCCAATCAAGTTTTCTGGGTTTGAGTCCTGGCAAGAGTCACTATGTTGCGTTCTTGAGCAAGAAAGTTTTCCCTCGTAGTACGTCTCTTTACCTAGAAATGTGTACCAGCACCCTGTTAGGGTAACCTGACAGGGTGCTAACCTGCTAACCCAAAATGAAGAAATAATAAAGTCATAAATTAAATGGTACCTTGGATTTGTCAACAGATTTCATCGCAAATGTTCTGTCCAATGCCCAATCCAATATGTCCCAGGCTTCTTGAGAAAGAATTTGTTTACCTTTTAATATTTTGTCAAAAGAAGGAACTGCACTGCAAACTTGAGCCTAAAGGAACAGAAAAATTAGTGAATAATAATTTGCCTTGCAAGTGGAAACTGTCATTGAAATAATTATTCTAAAATTGGGATACTAAAGTGGAATCTTGTGGCACAAATTTGCATTTATTCTTTCAAATGTTCTGAAAAACTGTTGTGTCGTGGGTCAATTTTGTGACTTTGAGATGTTATCAATGTGATGGCATAGAATATATTTTGCATAGGAATGTATCATAGTGACCACTGCTCTTTCTGCTCTACTGAGTCTAAGCCAAACTGAGATTTTATATTTGTAGTGACCACTGCTCTTTCTGCTCTACTGAGTCTCAGCCAAACTGAGCTTTTATATTTGTTTAGTCAGGGCAATCCATGAGTGCAAAGACGGATCAGTTTATTGAGCCACTGTTGTCATATCCTGAGTTTCTTAAATGAAGATGTTACTCTTGTATACCTGGTATTTCTTACATGATGTTGTTTACCACCTGATAAAAAAGGGAACTTTACACAAGTATATGTGGCATTATTTTCTCAGAATGTATTAAACAGTTTGTGGTTATGAAGTGTTCTGTTGTATATTGACAGTCTCAACAACTGTATATGGGATTATGGGCTTAAATCTATGGAGAACAGTTGTACTTGTTGATATGAGCAAATGCAGTCTAACAAAGTTTATACAATAATTTAGCTCAAATCCTGGATGACATGGTGAAATAGGGATTGGCTGGGTCAAGTCTGCTTGTCATGTGCAATCATTAAGCTTGTTAAACCATTGATGACACTGTCATGTACTGTAATTTATGTGGCAGGCTGAAAGAACTTCAAACATACTTTACTAATTTCTCAGGTATTCTAGTAGCATAGAACAGAGATGATCTTCTCACACTGACACAGAGATGACCTGCTTTCAGTGGTGGAGGTTGACAAATGACTGAACATGCTAAGTGAGAATCAGGCTTTACATGTAGTTTGTCACTGGAAAGCCTTTGGTCATGGTTCATCCATATGTAAGTGGGAGGTGCAGTGGCCTCATGGTTAGTGCGCTCGTCTCCAGATCGAGTGGTCCAGTTTCAAGCCCTGGCTGGGAACATTGTACTCTTGGGTAAGACGCTTTACTCTCACAGTGCCTCTCCCCATCCAGGTGTCTAAATGGGTACCAGCAAACTTAATGCTGGGGGTAGCCATGCGATGGACTAGCATCCTATCCAGGGGGGAGTAGAAATACTCCTAGTCACTTCATGCTGCAGAAACTGGGATAAGCTCCAGCCTGATGGGCCACTTGGCCCAGATGCAGACTTTACCTTTAACTTTTTCATCCATATGTAATAACCTTAAAGATTTTCATTTACAAGCTTACCAATCATTGGCTACTTATTCAGACAAAGTTTAGAATAACATGTTTCAGTCAATCACCACACCTGTTACAATATCGATCTCTTAATACTGCACACATGAACTGTACACCAGTTTGCAGAATATACTGTACAGCTCTGTTAGACCTCTCTGTGTAGCATTTCTTCTCATGTGAAGAAATAAGTGGATGATACTCTGGTAAAACGTTGTTTTGTTTTACTCTTGAATTTCTTGAGTCACTTGGCATGTACTAGAGATTCTGCACGCCAACAGAGTAAAGAACACAAATTTTCATCTCTGCCAGACGGGCTTGAACATGATAAATTGCACTGTAAATTTACATATGTACACAAGATACGTGGCTGTACATGGTGTACATTCCCAAATGTCATGGTTACAGAGCCTCAAACCATGTCTAACTAAGAATTCGTTTCCCTAGGTCTGTAGCACTAGCAAGATAATAGTACAGTCCTGCATTTTTCTCGCTAGGTTGTGTGTATATATATGCCTCACGAAGTATCTACTTGAATGAAGGCAGTGTGCCAGGCAGTGTACTGCTGTGTTCATGGTGAAAGCAAGGCCAATGTGAACAATCTGGCTTCCCTTAAATTAACACTCACCAGTCTTTGAAAATTCTTGTTACCACCATCCTCTACATATGCAGAAGGAAAAGGCCTCAATATACTATCATGTCTGTAGCTTTCCAACGCTGACATAAACAAGCTCCACTGCATATCAGCAGATGATAAGTCAGATTCAAGTCTTTGTAACACACGATCCTTAGCTCCTTCACAATCCGTCATTTTACAGCACGTTAAGTATTTATAGTGCTCTCTCCTTCTCAAATGATTGCCTTGAAATTCTGGTTACTAAGGTAATATTTGCAAAATTGTTTGGAATCATTTAGGGCCACGTAATCGTCCGCCATCTTGAAATTTAAGGCGCGAAATGGGTTTTGGGGATTCAATACCAGGCTCTCCCTTTTAACGGAGTGGCCAATCAGAAAGCAGCGCGCCAATGTTGAAAAAGATAATTTTTTTTAGAAACATATGAGTGCAGTAAGTCGCCATTTCGACTTCACGACAGTTGTTACGAGTTGCAGAAATGTCCGTAAAGCAGATTTATTACTCGGAGAAATACTACGACGACATCTTTGAGTACAGGTAATTCTTTTACTAACTTAATTACTTATTTCTTATGCAATAAAAACAAGTAAGCTTAACTAAAATTCTTCGGCTTGGGAAAATGACCTCGGCGCCCTCGCAAGTCATGTCGACGTTTGCAATTTATTCCTGTTTCATTTGAAGTTGTCCCTACTTTGTGTACCTTAACAATGTCGTAGTATAGCATGAACTGATTTTTTCGAATTTTTGGTAATTCTGTGGGCTCTCGTGCGGTCATGACATTTTCAAACACTCAAAAGGTTATCAAATGGCTTGGAAATAGTTTTATAAAATAGCCACATTAAACACAGTTCAAGTTTCGAACTGCTCTGATCTATATATTCGACTTTCTAGCAGACATTTGAGTCTCTCGATAAGCTCATATTTTCGGCCTTTGTAGACATGTCTTGTTACCCAAAGAAATAGCCAAGCTTGTCCCTAAAAGACATCTTATGTCTGAAACTGAATGGCGAAGTCTTGGTGTTCAACAGTCACAAGGGTGGGAACATTACATGAAGCATGACCCAGGTATGTATACACGCTTGACAAGGAAGTTCATTGCTTACAAAATAAGTTTAGTTTGAGTTTTAAACTTTCCACTTAAATTACTCAAGGTATTCAAAGTAGAAACTTGTGCTGTGAATGGATGTGTATGAAACACATGCCATTATTTTGTACATGACGCAAATTCTAAAATCTCATAAGCTTACTGCCAGGTCCACTTAACTTGTCCACTTAAACTTGTGTTGTAAATGGATCTGTATAAAACACATGCCATTATTTTGCCGTTATTAAAATCTCATAAGCTTACTGCCAGGTCCACTTAAACTGCACACTACAAAATTAGTATCCAAGCTCTTTATGCCTAAACTTCAGAATGCTTGGCCACTTATTTGCATATCACTGAAGCACAAAAGTGTCAATTTTGGTATGCTTCGTTCAACAAAAGGCTTTGAGCGGTCTTTTGAAACATTTAAAAGAGGTGGTCCAAAGTAGCTCTGCATTCTGTAGTTGCTCCTGCCAGGTCCCAGTTGGCTTGATAGGTTGATTGGAAGAGAACTGATATTGCAGAGATCATGGGTGTAAAACCCATTCAGGCCTGAACTGTTTTCAGACTTCATTTTTGCCACTGCAACAATCTTTCATATCCTCGAATCATCACAATGGACCATTTTTGTATTCTCGGTATTGGACTGGAACTAGCTTGCAATGGAGGCTCATGCGGGGGAATATCATTAAAAAGAGATTAATGTCATTTACATTTGAAAAGACTTCCTGCATTAGCCTCAGTTATAAGCTAGTTCCAGTGCAATATCGAGAATATGAAAACGGTCTATTTAAATATATGATTTATCATATTTTTACTTTCATATTTTCATGATCTATTTCATGATCTATTTTTCATATTACAAACTTGCAATTTTGTGATAGCTCAGTTGTTAGAGTGTATTGGTATAGAAAGGTCACAGGATAGAATCCCAGTTGTATACATAAATGAAAAGATTTCTCACATTAAAAAACCCTCAACACTACACTATTACACTTGACACCATATAGGTAAGATAATTTAATTTAAGGGCAGTAAAACATTCCTTCTGCTAATCAAGTAACAATGTTCAGTCACACATTAACTACTTGCTGTTACTAATAACTACAGATGCAAAGAGAATAAAAAATATAAAAGAAAAGAAAAATAATAAAAATGATTCTAAAGTTATTGATCAGCAATGATAATTTTATGTTATCATTTTTTGTGCTTTCAGAGCCTCACATATTGTTATTTAGAAGAGAAAGGACTGACGCACCAAAGCAATAGTACACAAGCAAGGACAAAACCATCATCTCATCTGCTATTTGAATAGCTTGTTGTTTTCATAGTATTGCTTCTTAATCCAATAATAGGAATAAGTGTCACTAACAATGAACTGGTAATTTCCAAGAGATTAATTGAAAATGATGAATTTAAATGTTAATATGTATTACTAATCATAATTTATTATTCATTCATTTTTTCAAATAATATTACTTCCACTGTACAGATAATTGGTAGGTTTAAAACATAAATATTATTTATTTAAGTACATTATTTGGCTTCTCTTCAAATCTGCAATGTATTACTTATTGCACAAATTGAAATTAAATTGAGCATGCAAAACACTTCTGTTGAGTACTGTAGTTGTTAAGTCCTGTAGTTTTCCAACAACTATAGTAAAACCACCAGGGTAATCACAAAGCCAATCTTCAATTCATTAGTAAGAAGAAAGGCTATGGCCCTATATACTACAAATGGTTCAAATTAGACATGTAGATATTTTAAAAAAACCTATGCAAAGTTGAAAAAAGAAAATGGTTACACAAGCTAAATGACCTAACATGTGATCTGATTGGTTAGAAGTTAGAAGTAATTTTTTAAACCATTTAAAAAATCTAAATGTGTCAGTTATGCTGGGGCTCATAGTTACCCTGGCGTGGGTGTGAGGGAGGTACCAAAGGCCAGGAGATAAATATATAAAAGACTAAGGGTGTGTTTCTTTAAGAAAATCCAAGATTGGATTCTTAATATGGCTTACTACAGTTTTTCCTAATCCAAGACTTAGTGGCGCGCGCTACCATTGCCTGTCAGTATTGGATTGCGCATCCCTACTGCGCGTAATTTCACGCGTGATTAGCGCGTGCACATTGCAAAATGGCGGCTTTTTAAGCGATGACGTAATCGCTTTATGCTGGCATGCATGCATTCCTTTGGATAGTGATTTCGCATAGTTTGCACAGGGAGCCCTCACGTCGGTTTAGAACATGAATAAAAGATGAACCTACCTTTATCGCGCGTGTATTGTGTTTTGTGGCGGCCATTTTGAATTTTTAATACGCGCGCGGTGTGCTAGTGCGAGGTCTGGAGCCGA